CTTCGGTCCGGCTTGATGCGACAGCATAGAGAACAACATCAATGATGTCTTGCGTAAAATTAAATTTCTCGGAAAGAAATACGCTAAACGATTTTTCTTCGTAACCTGTCATGAATAACATTATTATCGTATTGAGACACACTAAACAGTTTTCATATTAAAATAAGGGCGTGCCTTCCATCACGTCCGATGACTCTGTGTAAGTTTGAGCAAATTCAGCCAATTTACTGAGCCTTCTTTTGCTTATCATTGAAAGATTTTGTTGCGTCTCTTTAAAAATTTCTTGTCTTCCTACAGGGACCTATATCAATAGTCACTTTGCTAGAATCGAGTTTTAAAAGACGGCTTGAATCAGAAAAATCAAAAGACATACCTTTACAAAGTCTTTATTGTTGCTAAACATATAAATTCCTTTGACAGGATAAAACTCAACGCCGTCTCTTATATTTGTCAGTGCATCCAACTTGCATTGCGAAATCAAATCAATTGTATCACTTTTAAAATAATATAGTTTCGGTAGCAGCTCGAGAGAATATTTGCGTGAATCTTTGATCAATTCAGCAAATGTTTCAAGTGTTTTAGACTTTGCTAAATTCTCTGTGACTGATGCCACTTCCTCTTCAGGTGCTGGTGGTGCATACATGTATGGATCGACAATGTTATGAAGACGAACAAGCACCGCTTGAACTGCGTCCTCCTCGGATTCTGCTGCGGAAAGATCATGTTTGAACGTGTTTACAAGTTCAACTTCGGTTGCTGATGTTGATTTGAGCAACCTTCTTGCTAGAAATTCATAATCTTGCTCTGATGTAGACGATGAAGCAGACATAGCCGGATCCTCTGTGGATGAACGAGGATATATCTTATATTCCACCGCTGAATATATGGCATTTCGCGATTTCGTAAATTCACACGGTAATGTTGTCAAAGGAGACTCGAACCCTACTTATTTGCAATCTATGAATTAGAAAAAGTTTCCGCGTTTTGTATCCCAACAGCAAAAAAAGAAAAGAGTTACCACCATTTGTCGTTAAACTTCCGGTAGTTGTAACTGGGTCTTTAAAAACCAATCAATAACGCTTTACGACACGGAGCGTCAAACATTCAAAGCAGTTTTTAACCGAGCCAAACCTTGTATTTTTTTACACCATCTAAGCAATTCTTCAAATTGAAATGCAGTCTCTAGATTGCCATAACACTTGTTCTCATCCATATGTAATACACTCTTTCCAGCTTGAGCAAATGCTCTGGGAAAAAAAATCAAATCAACCGCAAAATTCATGTGAGATTGATCAGATACCTGAACAAAACATCTTACGCTGCAAGCACCGATCCTGTATATCCTGTTCCGAGAACAATAACATCATAATGTTTCTCCAAACCTTCAATATCAGGCATAATGACTTTTTGTTATGAAGAAAGGCAACGTGAGAATTGTAATATGGATGCGCCGCTAAGAATTTTAGAGATCGACAGTTCACATGCAGGGCACACATCATACTAAAAACGGTTTCGGAACGTTCAGAAACAATTGCTAGAGTAATAATAATAGATCAATTTGATAAACACCCTATTACTAACATTGTTTTTTTACGCGCCATATACGATGAGCATTCAACCTAGTTTTTATGATCAACCCCAGTACTTTGCATGAAGATTACAAGTTTACAAAGATGCGAGAAACTGTTCAGTGAGAGATAC